ACCATGGTATTTCATTGCTAAAAAGAACTCTACAAGAGTCTCAAGTCTAAAATTGGTCAGAGTTGAAATGGATCATGAAATGCAATGAAATACCATGTTTAACCATGAAATGCAATGAAATACAATGATTGATCATGATATGCAGTGAAATGCTATGGTCTTTCTTGCAATGCAGTGAAATACAATGAAAGGCCATGTTCAAAAAGTATTTTTTACATGAAATATCTTTATTAATAAATGTTGATTAGATAACCAAATTATTATAATTAGTGATTCTGATATTCATCAAAATCACAACTTTATATACTTTTGTTCCTTTATTTAATAAATTAATTTCTATTATGAATAATTAAGTTAATAACCCTAGAAACAATTTTTTTTTGTTAAACAAATATGCTCTACTTTTGTTTGACTGTTGTCGTTTAAATAGGAGATCAACTTAATATATTGTAAGTCAAACCTCCAGTCTTCGATTAAACATCTTGACTGTACTTCATTGCATTTGATGGTTCGCAACCATGAAATACTACAAAATAGCTGTATATATAAATGCAAAATTTTAAGTATAGTTTCAACAATATTATTATTATATATTATTATGAGCTTTATTTTGTGATAATTAAATGGCTCCATTGCATATCATGGTTAAATGTCTAGACCATGATATCACTGCATTTGATGGTATTTGACCATGAAATACTGTGAAACGGTGATATTTTTTAGATACAAAATTACATGTTAATTGACCATGGTATATCATGATCGTTAAATGGCACCATTGCATTTCATGGTCAGGAGCGTTTTTTTAACATGGAGTTTCCCATTGAAAAAATACTGCCGTTTCACAGTATTTCATGGTCAGAAACCATCAAATGCAATGATATCATGGTCAAGAAACCATCAAATGCAATGATATCATGGCCGAGAACTTGACCATGATATCATTGCATTTGATGGTTTCTGACCATGAAATACTGCGAAACGGCAGTATTTTTTCAATGGAAAACTCCATGTTAAAAACGCACTGTTAACAATGAAATGCAATGGTGCCATTTAACGTTCATGATCGGCCATGGTATTACCATGGTATTTCATTGCATTTCATGGCCATATACCATGGTATACCATGGTATACCATGGTATGGCCATGGTCCATTTCAACATGGAAGGGTCTTGAGACTAGAAGCAGGACTAGTCTAATAAATGGGGCACTTGTATTTAGATTCACTCTCCAACACTGGCTTGTGTATAAGATATTTCAGGAGTGGGATAATAGTCAGAACTTAATGGAAATCCTCTTATGACATATTATTATGTTTTCATGATGTGAAATGCGTAGCTATATCCTATATTAAAGCATATGGCATTTAATATTGTACTGAGGATCCTTGTCACCTACATTCAGTAAATGCACTTAGGGGAACACTTCTGCAGTGAACAGAAAATTAATCACCAACTCACCCACCCCCATATTATCTGTCAGTTTCACCTCGGGGATACAAAATGAAAGAGGCTATCTGAGAAATGTAATTTCCTATTAAGAGTCCCTACCTTATGTCATGTGACATTTAAAATTAGAGGGGTGGTGCTTAGTCTTGTATCAGGGCATCGTGTAACTCCCCCCCCCCCTGCATGCCTCCTCCAAAGCACATAAAGAAGATAGTTGGTGAAAGATGGAAAATTGAGACACTTGATACATGGAAGTCAATGGGATTTCTGAAATATGGGGTTGAGGTGTTTAGCTCTGGATATAGGACAACATAATTGTGTAGTAGTAGTAGTAAGTGAGTTGTTCACACCAAGCTCTTTAAAGAATGTTCCCACAAAAATGCTTTACTGTAATTGTTGATCTTGTTCTTCATAGGTGAAACCACTTACTCCACTTAACATTGTTTCTGATACTGTTGCACTATCGTAATTAATTTCATTTCTGAACAGGATAGAAATGACATACTTGAGAGGTTTCATTCACTGGTTTTTGCCCAAAGTATCCATATCCATTTATTTTTGTTGTTACATCTATGTAGGGCAAAAATGTCAATGTTGTTCAAAATCACTTTATAACAGTAAAATCTGAATATTATGTTGCTTTAATAATGAACTTATCTAACTTCCTACAATCTGCATGTATGTAGGAAGTACAGTATATAGAGGATATCCTATGATTTATGAGTGATATGATTTTTATCCACGAATGGATATGATATCTGCACGAGCGAGCGTAGCGAGAGAGTGCAGATATCAATAACCATGAGTGGATTAAAATCATATCACGAGTAAATCATAGGATGTTCTTTTTATTCCATAGTTAAAGTCATCATCAGAATCGTCGGAAATTAAGTCATTTAATTCGAATTTTCCAAACGATCCGGCGATGTTGACACTTAGCCTCGTTTTGAGTCTGAAGTAGCAAAAATCCATAAACCATCGCATACGACGTCGTATGTCATGGTTAAAAAACCGTATGCTATGGTTAAGTGAAAATTTGTCAAAAATATCATATTTTACCACTGATTACAAAAATACCGTTTTTATTTTCACATGTTATCCTATGAATATCATGCTAACTATGGAATAAATATGGTTATGTCATTTTATGATTACATTAGTTAATACTTATTGATATTTCCCCTTTATATATATATTATATATCTGATCCTTACAGAGCTGATTGATTACACAATTTAGGTGAAAATGAGACATTAGAACACGTGTTCATAATGATGAGCCCTCTATCTATTTTAGAATAATATCAGAATGAAAAGCAAATTGTTGTGTCATTTGGAATAGGTCACTTTTAAAGAGTTCTGCGTAGGATGTGAGAGCGAAGGAAGATAGAATTAAATGAATTAGATTAAATGATTTTATCGATTAAATAATTTTATTACCTGAACAGCTGACTGCTGATTACCCTTTTCAAAATTACTAAATCTCTTATCTTAACAGAGAGGTTCATCTACATATTTTGAATAAGAGATAACCCTTTGATCTAACTTTATTATATACTTTTTTATATTATATCTTATATACAACCTTCTATGAAAGTCTATGATATCATCATCTATGTTAAGGGCTCATCAGCTTTCTATCCGGCATACAATTGTCCAACTAATGTAGAGTGAAGTAATTTCACTCGTCTCAGGGTACTGTAATATTGTTACAGTAGTTAGAAATTGCTTCCTTATCAAATTAAAATTAAAAGTCCAAGAGATAATCATTAGTACTGGATAAAAGGCTGCTACAATTCTAAAGTTATATAATTTTTACAACTACTTTTGTTACAATATATGAAATGATGAGTTCCAAAGCTTCAGGGAAGTGGGATATAGATCTTGGTATACATTGACATATGTGATTCATTAAAATGCTGTGTCTAGCAGGGATATATCTTAAATACATTCAACTTGAAGAAAAAATGAATAATGGTGGATTTCCTATTAAAAGAATTAAAAATGTTAAATCGACACAAAAATATATTTTAATCAAACAAGATAGAAGCATGAATAATACAAAGTCTAAGTATAATATAATACTCATAACGCCTATTTTTATAACGCAGGTAATTTTGTTTTTAATTACTATTCAGTCAACATGTGCTTATTGCAGGCACTTGTGCTAATAGAGCAGATTGGTCGAATGCCAGCCTATTGGTTGCTGCTGTGTGTGTGTGTTGATGAGATCTGTACGTCAGCACACATCGTAGAAACACTCGCATTCATTGAGTTGGGTTGTAATTTGTCGGTTAAGATAGTCAGGATTTTGTAAAGTTTAGGATTGATAATATGGATGGACGCATTGTTCAAAAGTAAGTAAGACATTGTTATTTGTTTATCTCAGGGTTTCTAGAATCTGAGGATATCACATTATAGGGAGGATATTGATATCTTGCCATTGTCGTTGAATTTTCAGGAACAATAAGATATAATGATTTATATCACAGAATGCATACCAGGTTCAAGATATGGGTGATATCCCATGCATATATGTTGCCAACAGATTATAGTAGGATTCAGTGGATATAGGATTAGTTTTCCAATCTCAAGATATATTGACTATAGTTAGGGTTCAGTATCCGTTTTGATCAATGAAGCATGTAACTATAATATGTTATTCCAGACATCAGTTATTAATATTGAAAAATCCATATCCTCTGATAGATTGATTTGTTGTAGAGTGATTGATGAGCATATTCAATAACTTAGGGGTGGAGGGAGATAGGGAGGAAGATTGAATAGGATCTCCTACCCACATTCTGAAACTTGTCATATGTTTCATTGTTTCTGTTTTGCAACTTGCAATATAAAAAAATTCAAGGTTGTGATTGAAGGTAATAGTAACCAGAGACAATGTTATTGTAATTAATAAATAAATAACAAAAAAAAACAGTTTTATTAAAGCTATGACAACCAGTCTTATTGAAATAATAAAAACACAAAAACTTTGTTATTGCAATTGTCACAAAACAAATGAAAAGAAATTAAAGTATGAGAAGATGACCTTTGAATCATCTTTGAAAGACATTCTTGATGGAAATTAGAAAAGGTTTGTAACCGATCAGAATGACCCTACCATAGCAATAAATTGCATGGCTTGTCTTTTTCTAAGACTAATTTTCTTAACTGGAATTGATCTTTGGAGAATGACTGGTTAGAACACCTATCTTCTTTTCTGTGTAGAATCATCACTCTGGTAATATATTAAATAACTCAATTTCATTTACTACAGCGAATTATGATTTTAATTATGACTTTTTTAAATTTAACTCATGTACTGTACTTCCATTTTAAATGTAGTTTTCGATAAAGCTGTTATTTAGGATAATCAGCGAAACATCGAAAATAAATGATTATTCTCTGAAGTAAATTAACTTGAGTTATTTAACTTTCTTCTTTATTGCACAGAAAAATGACTTTTTGCACCAGCATTTGATTTACAATGTTATCTATTATTACATATTTATTGATTTAAAGTAAAATTGTATTTGAATTTTGTATTTCCAGGTTCAACCATATTAATAACAAATATCTAAAACCACTGCTGCTGCGACAAAAAACAATTACTCGGGGTGCGTCCATATTATCTGTATACACAAATCTAGCGAAACATGACGCTATGCAACAAGTCGAGCAGTCGGCATCCATGGGAAATGTCCCTCGTAACAATAGTGACTATAGCATGATTGGTCTAAATGGCTCAGACCCAACTATGCAAAACAGGTATTTTCCAATTTGATTTATATTTTTAGTTCATTGTAACCCCTCGCTGTTGAAACAAGTGTTTGATGTTTTTTTAATTTGCGGGATTTTACTATCAGGTATGAAAAAATCTATTTATAAATAGAGTTTCATATTTTGATATAGATAGTGCTTAACTGAATGTAACCAAACTGACAATACCATTACATGTACTATAATCAACCTCTATATACATACACTACATTTTCACAATTTTCACATTTTCACATTTTTTCATGTTTCCTACCGACTTTCAATTCTATATTTTGTTTTGAATATGCCTATGAATGAACAAATCATATATCATTTGAACCCTGATCTTATTATTCATTAACATCACAGAAGTGTGAATTTGTAAATAAATTGATGTGGCATACAATGGAGAACATCACGACTTGGGTTTATTTTAATATGGAAAAAAGTTGTCATGGCAAAGGTTAAATTGGTGAAGGTTAAATAAGAATACAATAGTATTCTTGATTCTGATATCATGTGACAAAAGTTTTTGATTTACAATGATGCTATCTAGTTTTTGGATTTGTGAAACGTCATTTCTATAATTCTTCAGTCCTGTAATCAGATTATGATTAAAAATTTTTTTTTACTTTACTTAAGTTAACTTGACATTATGAGCCATTTTTACAGAAATATATGAGTTGACGTACATTGGTGTTACATAGTTGAAAGCAGTGATTTCATTAACGGTGTCCTTCAATGGAGAGGACGTAAATCAAGATTGTGTGGACGTAAATTAAAAAGATAATGACGTTATTGGGACGCAATTTGAATTTCGTAAATCACTTCATGAATCCACTAAATAATTGAAGGAAATTCTATTTCTAAAAGAAATAAAATTTTGTTTTGAAGTTTCCTTCCCGGAAGTTGATTTCTGATCAAAATAATATGAGGCATGTGATAGGACAAATAGTTATCCAATACTCGATATCTGAGCAATAATCAGTAGGAGTCTTACGATTGGCCGCTAGCTGAAGACCAGATTTAAATCATTTTGTATTCATCAAGTGCGATCACAAGATCATTATTTAAGAATGCGCATGCGCAAGAAACTGAACCAAAAAATTAAACCTCGCTCAGATTGCCCCTAAACTAAAGCAAAATCAGTAGCCAATTGCTTCGAAATACGCAAAGAAAATGTGTTTCTAATGGTTGAATATAAGTTATACATCACAAGTGATGGTATCTGTATCATTCAATGACATACTAGACTCGCCAGAACACTGATTTAGACCGATAAATAGCAAAAGGATACAAAATTTCATCAATTTTATTTCAGTTAGTGTAAAAGTGTAACTTTGAATTCCAGGGAACATTTTTTCAAGGGATGCAGTTTTTTGAGGGGAGACACATTTTTTGAAAATCGATATGTCCCAGGGACGCAATCTTGGACAAATCAACTGAAAACACTGGTTGAAAGTTTACAGCCAAGTGAGGCTCACACGACTAGTAGCATGTTGGTGGTGCTCCAAAGAATGACTTAGCGGTTAGAAAATGATATGTCTAGATATTCAGCAAATGATTTACAGAGATGATGACCAAAAAGTAAAGTGTTAGCCTTATTGGCTTATTGGCTCGTGTTAGAGAGTTAAATTTTATCATTGGATTTTCACGTCTTATTTTATCGTCAAGCAACTTGAAATCTGAAAAGAAAATGGTTGAGTGTTTGCTTGCTTAAAGATTCTCTTATCAAAACTAGAAAATGGTACATTTTAATCAAAATTAGTAATTTCCTTTTTTACTAAATCTGTCAAATCTTTTGATTATGTAATTTAAAAAAATGTTTTAACCCCCTTTGTCACTCCCCCCCTCTCTACCACCACCACTGCCCTCTAAATTACTATTTGAGGAGATAACCTAAAGGACAACCTTGAAACACAGTAGATCATCCCTCTGTAGAGAAAACTTCATCTTCAAAGCACTGTTTCAAACAAGATCTAGGATTTATGGCAGCAGCATGTGCGAGGCAACGTGCAGAAAAGCATGTTATGTATTGTTTACAATTTCTGGAATGGATTCAAAACATAAAAATAGACATGATAAATCATATATTTCTGAAAAGGTTAAAATCAAGGATATAAGAGTACTTAATTTTATTCTCAATGTCATATTATACTTTTCATTTTATGTACTATTATTTATTAAATAAAAAATTAAGTTGTTTATTATTATATTTTGGTGTACATGCAACTCATCAGTTCATATAAATGTCAAAACAATGCTTCACCCTCAAAAAATCATTAATCCAATCATGCCTGTTTTTAACATTTTCTTTAAAACCATATATTTTCAGACATATCTTTATAATATAGATTTTTGGCAATTATAGAATATGTATTGACTACATGTCTGTTTATTTGTTTGAGATTCCATTTTTTCATTATATTTAGCATTTTAATATAATACATGACTACTGTGCTATTTTTCCAACAGAAAAATACAGAAATATCATTGGCAGGTCTGGTTGCATAATCGTTCTGCTATTAAAGGCAGGAAACACCAGATTCTGCATTAATAAAAACACAGTTTGCTAAACTGTTAAGTAATATACATCACATACATTGGAATCCTATAATTTGGTTAATGCACTATTATAGTTGCCAGAAACCACCTCATATTCTAAACATCACATACATTGCTAGTCCTATTTGAAACTTTATTTTAGACATTATTTTACTACTTTCATTTCTACATTTACATGTACTCTAATCCACAAACTTCCCAAAAATTGATCATTTGTTCTAATAATTTTAAGAAATGACAGGGCATATATTATAATTTAAGTATGAAATTGGAGAAATTGTACCCTGCATGCAGAGTCTAGTTAAACTACAGACGAAGCTCTCTTTTAAGAAGTGAAGTCAAATGAATGCAAAGGGTAGAGAAATTGTAAAAGTGGGAATAATCGAACCAGTTGTCACAATGTCACAGTGGACTTAGAATCTCCTTGAATAATTTGATTGGAGTATTAAGATGTAATGGAATCATGTAATTCTCATTTGAAAAAGGCGTCTTAAATCTGACAGCCAAGACCAGGGGACCATATCTAAACATGTTCTCTATGTGTCTTCATGGTCCTACATTTTGCTTCTAACATGAGAATGACTTGTCTGTTCCTCTCACATTTCAATACAATTTAGGGTGTTCACTTTATGCCCGTTTTTATATCACCAGTGGCGACATTTTTTAGAGTCTCCAACTTTTTTGTGGACGGTGTTTGGCAGTTGGCATTCAGATTTTGGTGGTTGGCATTCAGAATTTGGCATCTGTAACAAATGGCGGCTTGTTACATTTTGCATTGTTAATTCCTTGTTATTCCTTGGAGGCAAAATTGATAATAATTGTATTGCCTGTGTCAGTTGCATACTCATATATACTAGTTATATACTCATGTATATATAAATTCTGCACTGGGTGGTATTCAGATTACAAGGATATTCAGCCGGTTCCAAGACTTAATATTCTGCTAGTAGGAGATGAATTTATATAAAATGCCAACCCATACAGCCATAAGAATTTGTTTCTATTTCTGTGAAGGTGTCATAAGCATCCTGCAGTTAACACTTGCTAATGTACATTGTAATAGACAACTGGGAATGATTGAGAATGTATTTAACATATATTCTATCTATAAATAATTTCTCAAATGTCACCTCTTATTCTTACGTCATTTTACTTTAGATGGCACCTTACTTCCAGCAATTTTGCTCCTATTAGTACAAGAATCAAAGTCACGTGATCTTGAAGTGTCGGCATATGACTTTGGTTTTTGTACTATGGATACATCCTCGAATGCTCCTGTCTTCACTGCATTCATTGATGGGTGTGCCAAAGTGAACGAAGATGCTATGGATAACAAATGATTAAATTTATGAAGTCACGTTAACTAACATCATTCATTCGTGAATTGTCTTTTTCAGTCAAGATGTTGTCCGAGATCCAGCAGTTAGGTTCACTCAGGGAACTGCAAGAGATGACATGTTGACATCAAAATCTGACAAAGACAAGGTCACTTTGCCTCGAGACAACAGCAAGGCCCAGAGGCTTGTTCTAGAGGCTATGCACTCACCTAGGAAACGGGTATGTTTCTTTATTGTTGACCGAGTAGTTACCAAGTTAGGTTTGTCTAGGAATGCGTTATGATAGGTTTGGTTAGGTGAGGCAGGCTGTTGCTATGGGAATGCCTCGATCACAACAAAGCAACTTGGTGCTGCACCGAGTCGAGAATTTAAAACAGAATTTCACCCATTTGACAAGTGGAGATTTGGGTGAATCATGAGAATATTTTGAAGTGTTGGATTTTTTAGATTTGTAAATTAAGAATTTGGTTAGGTGTGTTTTTGGTGAGGCTCAGTTTTGGTGAGGTGTGATTGTTGAGACTATTTTCTCACGAAATTCAGGTTTTGATCATGGGTTTGGATCATGTCAAAGGTCATTGTGACATTTTTTTTTTAGCTTGATATCTGTGTCACATTTTCAGCTCACATGTTTGATTGATGAAGTTGTCTTTATGTATGAGATATGAATATAAATTATTCTTTTCAATATATATGTATAATATCAAAAGTCTTTTGAGCTGAAATTCTTTTTTTTTTTTTTTTTTTTTTTTTTTTTTTTTTTTTAAATATTTATTCAACTTTTAGATTTACATTATAATATAAGGTTACATGATAATACATATTATAAGAAAGTATATAAGGGGGGTTTACAGGGGAGGGGAGAGGCTATAATTACTAGATCTAAGTATAGTGGGTCAAATGTGAGAGTTTGGTTTTTCTATTTAGGTCTTCTTTTTACCCCCTTTCTGACTCTGTATGTATGTTTTGTAGTATTTGGTTTCCAACTCAGAAAGGGGGGTTATACATAATTTTCTATCATTGAATTTATAAGATTCCATTTTCTGTCATGCAATTCTTCTTGTCCATGTGTTTTTGCAATATATTTGTCAGCCTTCTTTTCTCTTATTAAGTATCTTTGAAAAGCATTTATGGTAGGTGTTTTTTCTTCCAATTTATTAATGTACATGAATCTCTTTATGAGTAAGGTTGCTAGGTTTTGGCTGAGAGACAATCTTGGAGATCCTAACATAAAAGCTTGGTCATCAGGTATCTCTTCATTCAGGATTCTGTAGCATTGTTGTTTGAAATCTTCCATCACTTGGCATTTCAGGAAACCATGTTCTATATCGTCTATTTGGTTGCTATTGCACAGTACGCATGTTTGGGTTTTTACTTTTTTCATTTTGAAAAGTATTTTCCTGAAGTATATTGCCCTATTTAGTATCCTATATTGAAAATATTTCATTTTCGTATCTTTTGTCAGTTTGTTTATTAGATTATATATTTTTTTCCATTCTATGTCTTTTTGAAAGTAGTCTCTCCATTTGGTTTGACCTGTTGGGGTCTTTTGCTTGAACTTTTTGCTGAGCTTTTGGTACGTTTTTTTATTGTCCCATGTTTTTAATCTCTCAATATTATCTTCGTCATCTTGTAAGTTGGTGTTTGCCATTAGGGTTTTCCACCTTGGTGGTATGCATCTTATAACAGTGTGGTAGTTGAGAAAGGTCTGGTTTTGTAAATTATATTGATTTCTTAGTTGATCATAACTTTTCAAGTGACCATTTTGGTATAAGTGTTTAATTCTTGTTATACCTTTCCTTTCCCATTCTTTATTTTGAAGCGGGTTTTTGTTTTGCTTTATACATTCATTGTTCCATATGATTTCATTGGAGGGGTTGTCAATATCCTGTTCTTTTATATATTTTACCTCGTGCCATATTTTAAGAACTTCATCCAAGCTTTTCAAATTAGTTGTAATTACATCAGACTTGTAAGGGTTTTCAATGTTATACTCTAAAATGTTATTGTCTCTGTTTTTGTCTAGTTTGCTCATCCAGATTCTTTTCCACTTACTGTTGCAATCTTCATCTTTTAGTTTACGCAGCCATTTTAGCTTTAGGTTTTTTGCATACGATTCAAGGTGTGTCATATCTAGTCCTCCTTCTTCTGTTGTTCTCCTAAGTGTTGCTCTTGCAATTTTGTCATTTTTATTTGACCATATAAAGTTGTAGAGGAGATCTTCTAGGTCTTTTAATGTGTTGTCTTGTGGTATTGGAACTGTTGTCAAAACGTATGAAAGTTGGGACTGAATTAAGGACTTTATTACACATATTTTACCAACTGGCGTTAGAGATCTTTCTTTCCATGTTTTAATTAAATTCTTAATCTTCTGTATAGGTTTTTCTAAGTTGGCTTTCCCGATAGGTCTCCCATCCAATGGAATTGTAATTCCCAGGACATTGATTTCAGTTTTTTCTAGTTTTGTGCCTACCTCATTGCATATGTTTTCTGCCTCTGCTGTTATAGCTCTGGTACTTTCTCCTAGTATACCTATCTTTGTTTTTTCTTTATTTATCTTTAGTCCTGAAACTTTACCAAATTTTTCAAGCATGTCTACGGAGGGTTTAATTGATGCTTTGTCATTTAGGTACAACACTGTGTCATCGGCATACTGTGACACCTTACAGTTCACATTGTCTATATTAATGCCTTTTATGTCTTTTGTTGCTCTTAGTGCAGTACTTAGTATTTCGGCACACATAATAAAAAGATAGGGGCTTAATGGGCAGCCTTGACGTACTCCTCGTTCAATGTTTATGTAATTTGATGTATATCCGTTGTTGATGATAGTGCTTGTGTTGTCTTTATATATTGTTCTTATCCAGTTTGTTATTCGTTCTCCAAAGTTAAAGTATTTCATAGTTTTATAGATAAAGTTATGTTCTAGTGTGTCAAAGGCTTTTTGAAAATCTATCATCATTACTATACCATTCCTGCCTTCTTGTTGAAGTCTTTCATTTGTATCTATGAGAAGCCTTATGTTTTCCCCTATGTATCTGCCTTTAAGAAAACCAGTCTGGTCTGTGTTTATGACTTTTTCTAGGTTGCTTTTAATTCGGTTAGCAATTGTTTTAGTAAGAATCTTGTAATCTGTGTTTAAAAGTGTAATTGGTCTCCAGTTTTTCAGTTTTGTGGCATCTTGGCCCTTTTTTGGTATGATTGTAATTATTCCGCGTCTTTGTTCTGTAGTTAATAGACCGTTTTCAAGAGAGAAGTTATAGCTTAGTATTAGTGTGTCTTTGATCTCTTTCCAGAAGTGTTTATAGAATTCTACTGGAATACCATCTGTTCCAGGTGACTTTTTATTCTTCATATCTCTAAGCGCTAGTACTAACTCTTCCTCTGTTAGATCTTGGTCACATTTTTCCTTGTCATATTCATTAATTGTTGTAATATTTCTTACTTGTGGAAAAAAAATGTCGTCATACTCATTTAGATTGTTTTTGGTTGCTTCGTAGAGCTTGCTGTAGAAAGCTGCTTGTTCCTTTGCTATTTTAGCTTGTGTTTCCACGCTTTCACCATTGTCTTTAATAACCTTTGACATTGTTCTGTTGTTGAAGTTTCGCTTTTCAAGTTTCAGAAAATAAGATGTTGGTTTTTCTCCTTCTGCTATCCATTTTGTTCTGCTTCTGAAAATTGTTGCTTCTGCATTTTGTGTATTTATTTGGTCAATGTCCTCAATTATATCCTGTAATTCACGGTTTAGAAGTTCTTTCTGTCTTATTTCATTCGCATCTTTAATTTTATTTTCAATTTCTTTTGCCTTACTTTCCTTTAGTAGTAGGTCTGTATTTGTTTTCTTTTTCTGAGCCTTTGAGTACTCAATCGACACTTTTCTAATGTTGTATTTTGTTAGTTCCCATATTCCATTCGGGTTCAAGTTGTTCCTTTGTTTAGTGTTACAGATTGTTGCTTTAATTAGATTATCATATTCAGGTTCTCCTATATATCTGAGCTGAAATTCTTGATGAAGATGATAGATAAGACATTTTAATAAAACATCGCATTTTCAAGCTCATGAATGAGTTGTTTTGCTTCTCTCGTCTGTATTAAAGTCTGGGAGATTTTGTTGTAAAACTGTAAAATATAATTTCACGTAGCATATAATCTAAATATTATTATTCAGTTGAAACGCAACATGAGTTTGTCCATTTTTCTCTAAAATCTGAATGAATTGCATTTCTCCGATTTTGTAGCTGCTAGAAATAGAGGGTCCATGACTATGAATGAAGTCTGGTAGGAATATTATAAAGCCCTTCATGTTGATGGTCTGTCCAGAAAATAACTCCAAACACTTGAAGTGCAAGCTCTTCATATTTGTTTGGAAAATTTATATTGATAAACATTTCTATGGAAAATATTTTTTGAAAATTAGTTAAAGATCTCTTCAGTAGTATATATATTTTATTTAAATTGAAAGTGTTTTAAAATAGATGATCACATTATGTTGTATCTTCCTTATTTTTGTCCTCATGAATTCAAAAAAGGCACCCAAATGTTAAATTGGTTGGGGTTTCATATTTAACCAGTGTATGTTAAATCAAAGGTATTCGACAGGATGTTGTATTTAATATTATATTGTGACATACTACAGACTTATGAATGATTGTGTGCTTAGATTTGTGTTTTCAGCCATTTTTCTCTCTAAGGCTTTTGACCCTGAACTCAAAAGTTAATATTTTTGGCTTCAAAAGGAAATTTCATAAAACGGATGTTTTGATTCAGCTTTAGGTTAAACTTCATACTTGTTGCACTGGTTGTTACACTGGTTGTTACACTGGTAGAAATTAACAAATAGAAATGAATTAAATCACATATGTAATGAATTTATTAAAGAGAATTGTATATTTTATAGAGTTTTTCAATATTATAGATTTACTCTCTCCATTTATTTGAATGTATTTCTTGCTTTGTTTTTACAAGTATGACAAATCGAATTACGTGATTACAACTTTTAAGTACACAAAAGTGATACTCTTACATGACATTTCTTGTTTATTTTTTTATCAAGTGAACCAGTAAAGAGGTACCAAGGTGACTATGATATCAATGATAAAAGTTTGGTAAAATGCTTGATAAAAATTGTAAATAAAATTCTATCATAACAAGGGGCAATGTCATCTATTAATAATTTTTAACTCTAGATTGTGACAAAAATAATCAAGACCTCGATCATTGCTCAAAAACTACACTCACTCACATTTGTTTCATTTTGAACTTTTTATCTGTTTTAAGGTCATGATAACTTGACATTTGCCTTTATTTTGCAAGGGGCTTTAGGTGCTACTTATAGGTAAATGTTAATAGTTTTTCACGACCATTTTGGATGAGTTTAAGCCAAGAGCACAACATTAACTACAGTAAAAAGAGAAGTAAAGTCTTCATTATCAATATTTGCTGCATATTCTTTATTATAACATTTGCTTGCAAAGGATGAAGGTTCAAATTTTAGATTTGAGAGAGTTACATATATTTAGATTTCTACTGGATAGGCAGGTAGGTCTTGTTTGATGTTATTTTGATTCAGAAATTTAAAGTAATCTGATTGGTCCTGCTAGGTGTCCTCTGATTGGATTAGACAAAAGTCATTAGGTATGGAGGTATTAAAGGCAAGTTCTTTTGTGGAATTACCATTCAACTTTTTATATTTCTTAGAGAGTGGTTTCATTTAGTTGATCTAATCAAGATGTCTCCAGCGCACTTAGATATTTTAGACTTCAGAAAGGTTGACATGTGGATCAGTAAATGTGTCGAAAAGGCACATATTGGCTCAAAAGTATGTTGTTTTTGAAAGTATTTTATTACATATAATTTATTTTATTTATTCATGAATGTAACCTTTTTAGATTGTAGATTAATTGAGTAAAGTAATTTAAGTTTGTATACTGTACAGAAAAGAGATGATTGTTTGTGTTAATACAAATTATACATTTTAAAATATGAGGGTAAATTCAATTTCATATTTTTCAGTGAGTCTATAAAATGTACCTATTATATATTTCAGTGGGTCTATAAGCATAAGAAACACATGATTGGAGAGGTACGCAACCACCCACCATTCCATCACCATACGAGACACCGTCTCCGTCAAATCTTGAGCAAGCAGTATCACAAAGATCGTGTAACAAAACAAGATGACAACAAAGAAAAGACGAGTGAGTTAGACCGTGAAGGCAAAGCAAGGCTTGAAGTGACAGATGAAGTCACGAATGAAGTGACGAAGACACTTCCACCTCAAAATCAGGGTAAGTGGTATCCTTAAATCATGAAGTCATATGGCACTTACAGCATCATATAGTCAAGTATCAGTTTGGAAATGACATACTAATCACAATGAACCCTTGAATTGACATAATATTAACAATTAACCCTCCACTCCCTACCAGTTTGTTTGTTTGCAATTAACCTCATTTTCACTGAGTATTGTATTTGAAAACATGACATGATTTATTGTTTGTTTAATTGGTAAGGGATAATGTCTCTACTGAGTATACCTAAGGCAAAACTGTCAATCAACAGCAAACTCATGTTTTAAACAATCGTCATGGTGATGTTTACAATGTCAAATGGGGTGGAAATAGAGAATCTAGCAGAGAATAGTTAGAAATCTAAACTTGAAAATTGGAAATAAAATAAACTGAATTCTGAACGTTTTGGATAGATGAATGTTGGACTGACAATTATAGTCAACAATGTTTGCGAAGTAATTAACCAGTACATGTTTACATTTATAGTTTAGCTTTAAGAAATACTCAAGTTCAAGATTATATTTATTATTTCACTCAAGCTTATTCCACTCAATTTCTCTCTAAATTTTGAATAAAATGTCTGGTTTTATGCATTTCTATAACTTGCTCATTCCACTTTTTATTATATTCTGCATTTTTTTTACATTTTGTACATAATCATATGTAACTATATACACCCACATGGGTGTCAGTTGCCTGTACACTGAACATTGATATAATTGATGAATAAACATCTATGCAAACTATAAAAAAAAATAAAATAAAAAATATTCTGCATTTTCAAACATCATCCATGATATATTTGTCACAGGAATTCAATGTCAAGTTTGTTTATATGGAGAAAAAAGAGGATGTAGAAAAAATCATTTACCATCCCTTGAGAGGAAAAAGTCAACAATTATCAATTTCCTCCCAGTTTTATTTTACACATTGCCATTTGGTATCCTGAATGAATGTTGCATTTCCTGAAAACGCTGATAACTTCCTGTTCTATTCAACAAAATCCTTTTAAAGGAGGAAGCATCCTGTTTGGGTTTGTTATTAAATAGCAATGGTGCAATAATATTAAAAAGTACAAGTAAATTTCTTGCATTTTAAAATGTCAACTTAAACATTTAAGAATCTTGAGTTTTAAATGTAGGTATGTCTGTTACCTTGGGGAAACCATCCATGGACATGAGACATAAGACCTGAATACATAAAAATGTAACTGTCTAATATATTAGAGGCTCATTATCCCCCTCCAACTATATTGAAATGCTGTCAGAAGCTAGTCAAGAAAAAAATTCAAATTGTATTAATTAGCCAGATAACATATTTTCTTGGACTTTCTGCTACCTTCCCGATTGTCAGAAATAATACTTTTACTAAGCCTTATATTGTATACTTTATATATCCTATACTGACATGACATAATTATATGTCTGTTTTAAAACTTATGTGTCGCACTATCATAAGAATGAACAAGGTAGTGTGTAAATTTAGTAGATAAGACATATTTCACCTACCCTTTGCATTCATTCGACTTCAAATCATAAAAGAGAGCTTCATCTTCACTCTTTCAGTTTACAATGAGTCTCTGATCTCACCTTGCCAATCAGAGTTTGTCTAGACTCTAGACTAGACTCTGTGCACAGGGTATATTTCACTAGACAAGGTTAAACTACAAATGAGTTCATATTTTTGAATACCTGCCCAATATATTCCCCACTCATATTTGGACTGAATTGCACATGTATTGACCAATAAATGTTGTTATTTCAGAGGCTGCCAAATTGAAAGGCAAGAGTCAAAGTTCTGAGGAAGGAAGTGATCATGGTATAACATTTCTTACAAATGAAAATGCCGATGCCTCAAATGAAGAGCAGCTCTTTGTTGATGTGACTGAAAACAATGGTAAGTCTAATTGGTTATCTCTCATTTCCCATTGGTTGATCTTCGGTCACATGGTTCAAATTCTTGAATGTCATTGGTTTGAATTTGTCACATGATGTAAGCTCCTTTTTATGCAGAAGAAGTGAGTCGCTCCCCTGCTGTTTTTATGCAAAATAAATATATCCAATTGCAAGAGTAATTGTAAGTATGAGAGAAATCATAGTTTTGAAATGACTATGTAGGCCCAACAAAACAAACGTTTAAGTCCCTTTCAATTGATAATACAGTTTAATTAAAATCTCAACAATATAATTTAGAGTAAGTAGTAATGAGTATGCAAAGACTTCTTGAGTTAAACACCAAACATCAAATGTCATTGAACTAAAGTACTCTGTACTTCTATTGCTTTTCATTCAAATAGGGTTTCAATGTTATTGACCTCATTAAGGTGACAGTTTGACCTTATAAGGTGTTATCAGATTATTACTGAGTTATGACGTAGTTCTGAAAATCTAATTTCAATTGGAATTAAAACTTGAATTCAACTAAACTTACAAGGTGGTATTGAAACAAGAATTAAATATTGAATAATTTGGAATCTATTGATTTAGTGAATAAACATTTCATATGATTGTAAGAGAATGTAAAATATATCAATCACCTTTCCCATACAAGCCAGACTGTTGAAGCATATACGATTTAATTCTATTCATTGCAATGACGTATATTCAAGTCAATAACCCTCACATCCACTGTTTTTCCCACTCTACACTTTAAATAATGTAATTTAGAAATCGATCTACAGGTTAGTTCATGATATGGAAGAATATATGTAAGGCCTCTTAGTTTTTGGTCCACTGATTTGTCAGTCTATGGTCAGAATTTTTCAATAATTTTCAGATAAAGGAATGTGCTATTCAGTTGAATTTATGATCACATCGATCTCCCAGCATTAAACCAAGTGGGCACAGCACCCACCTGAGATTTTGAAAACAGGCTTGTACCCACCTGGAAATTCATTTGCACCCACTTGAAAATGAGAATTATCATGAAAAATTGGCATATTTTGACTAATTTTGGTCTGAATTGTGAAAATGAGAATTTTGCACCCACTTGAGAAAATATTCTGTGGAGAACACTGGACCATATCCATGATATGGGGCCCATACTGGTAATTTACACTATGAATCCCACCTTTAACTGTTGTCTCATTTTGGTGGAATCAGCTTTTTGTCATCAATATGAAGAGTTGCCGTGTGAGCCCACCAAATGTCATTTTATTTTATATTGGAAAGGGATTCAGTGCAAGTGCCATCTGTATTTCAATGCTAACAGGTTCATTCATCAAATCAGCTGATCTCCTCGTGGTCATGTGTTTTAATTGATGGGCAGTTAGGAGTTTTTTTAAATCTTTTTTTGACTGGAATATGGTGAAGGTGTTTGACTTTCAGCCTTTGTTTCAAATAGTTGCACTTTTGTTACTTCAAATGATGTGATATTTTTCATGTTAATGCCTTGTCAGATATTTGTTCTAAACTAAATGAAAAGTTTTCATGAAACATTAAAGTACACTGTATATCAAAATGTCAGACTCAAGGTTGCTTCTCAAAATGAAATTGAATTTTTTATTTTAACATTCTTTATTTGCTAATATATCACCCTTTCGCTACATTTATAAATAAAATGTATTTTGTAAATATAAAAACATTCAAAGTACACCCAGACTTTTATAATTCGTATACTTCACAATAATTTTAGGGAGTAAGCTTTGTGAATCTTATTGTTCAGTTATTTCAAAACAATTTTCAGGTGATTCTGATGTGATTTACGCTCGTGAGCTTTAGGTATAAAAGAAAACAGAATTTTGTCATTGATAATATTTAGGCATAACTCTAGGCCCTAAGGTTTTAAGGCTGGGCCATTAGATTTAACTACAAGCATTTCTGTTTATTTAGGCCTTTAGGTGTAACAATAGGGCTTAAATTTAACTCCAGGCCTTAAGGTTTTAACTCTGAACCTCTAGATTTAACATCATGAAAATCCAATGATTTCACATTAATTGTTATGATTGAATAACAAGTGGTCATCAACTAGTGAAAATAGAACCAATTATTCTGCATTCTGACCATGCACATATTGGTCATATTAGGTGGCTTGTAGTGAAATTTACTCAACATTGCCAATTCCAGGGGGTCCATCGCTTCTACAGCACACTTGTAAAGCAGCTTCTTATATTGACTTAACCCTATTAGGCCTTGACGAGATGGTGGAATTTGATTATCTCGTCCCAAGCCCATGCATTAATACCATGTACAATAGTGAAATGAAATAGCATAATAGCATGTTAATTTAACATAGATGCCACATACTTAGGTTAAAGCATTAATAATTTATGAACATAATCGGTGACTGACTTTGAATAACAAGGTGCTGGATAAATCATGAAAATAAATAAATAATTTTATAAATATCTTTATAACTTAAAAAAGCTTTCTTTGTGATTGTACATGTTCATTGAATAATGATGTACATACCTTTAGCCTTCGTATAGAACAAACATGTTTTCAGTGCACTAGATCTATATATTTTCAAATCTAGGTTCTATTTATACCACATTCATGAATTTTTGTTTATACACAATTTTTCATTAGGGATCTACAAATTATTTGAAAAATGTTCTGGTGAATATTTGTGGGTTATGATTTTGAATGAATATCAAACAGTGCATATCTAGATCTGTAGGTGAATTCTCGTATTATTAAACAAATATCACGCATACACTTGATTCTTTGATGAACATGATACTAAAAGAGAGGGCAACAAAATACTACAAGAAAAAGAAATATCTCAGAGCAGAACTGACTTTTTAGAAAATAATTTCCCAAAATCCTGAATTTCAATTGAACACACAAAGAAGCATTGTCTCTCCACTGTTTAGTAATCAAAATCCAAAATTATAGTGCTTTGAAAATTTGGAACAATAGCTATGATGCAATGAACGCAATGACATTTTGTAACATTTTTGAATTATTTAGGATCAGTATTACTGGTGCTGCCTTTTAATGCCTTGCCATGTAACTGTAAACCTTAGGTGCTGGTATAATATAACAGTGACAGGGCAATCTCAGATTTTCTCTTGGGTATCGTCACACTGCTTTGTTGATTGAAAGATGGCAGTATGGGCATATCCAAGATGATCGCCCTGCCATCTATATACCATACCAGCATTTAATGTACCTTATAACATTTTTTGGAAATAATTTCTATACAACAAATAGGCAACCAGTTTAATAGAATCCTTTATTTTTGTATTTTCAGAAAAAGCAGATATCGAGTCCCCAATTCCAACTCCGGTTTCCCCTGTTGCCGCTGAGACATGTCTACCATGGAAACGCAACACAGGAAGACCTCCAATGTCGTCGTCTGACCTACATTCCCTCCCAAATGAGTACGACCCTGTGTCGTGTCAAGTTCCCCCTTGGGTTGATACACGTGTGACATGTGTCGCAACTCCCCCTGCTACAACCCCCGAGGCAGACAAAAATCTTAACCACCTGACTGTGCCATCTAAAGACATACAACCCCCTGGTAAACATAAACATTCAAAACCTGAAGACAAACTTAGTCCCAAATCTTATAGTCTACCCAATTTTATGCAATCTCAATATGCAATAGAAAATGAGCTGGTTGCTACGCCTGCTGATGATTGTTGTGACAATGGTGACAATCTACCGTTGCCATGGAGAGCTAATGGCAACGACACAGAAGATACACAAGAACCAATGACATCACCCTCTGCGAGCCACGATGTTGACCTCCGACCTCAATCATCCAATCATAGCTTTAGAATTGATCAGGACCACTGTGCTGAATCACACCATTCTGAGCCGGTAAATGTCATCCCATTGGTCGATCGTCGCCAAGCTAGTTTCTGCGATATTGTCCCAGATACATTACTTGTCTGTGACGATGTTGACACATGCGAAATGAACCCTCATGATAAGATCAATGATTGGTTGAGTAAGCACGAATCAGACCCCCACTTAGATGGTAATTTGAATTTTGGGGATCATGACACTCTCCAAGATGAAATTCATGATAGTGACTCGCACTCGCAACATGGTGACGATGATGCTCACAGCGACGAATACAGTGCTCCAAAGTGTCACTTTCACATACCCTCTGACTCAAGTGATGATAGTGATGTCATAGACAATGTCATCGTCGCTAACAAAGTCAACGATGTGATAAACAATATCAGCCAGTCGCATATTGATTGCAACACGACTGAGTTGGCGGCTTATTCTAAAAACAATAAAATCGACAATAGTAGTAAGAAGGATATTAATAACAAAATAAATCAGGACCTCACTCACCAAGACAATAAGAAGCAAAATATTTGCCATCAGGACAGCGATAAAACCATTGAATCGCTACCACATATATGAAATAACTTATGAAAATTATGGGTAAAATAATGAGTAAAAATGGATATTTATTGAATGCACTGTAAATTTGCTTTTTCATCAATTTTACATTACATGCAGTTAGACACCGTTTGCAGTATATGGAGAGAGAACTAAGTTATATTGGATGTATATATCTGATAAATTGGGGAATCTTAGTAACTACTACATTTGTATTTCAGGAGAGCTATTTTTCCTCCATTACAATAGAGTTCAATGTACTTTCATTAAAGTAGAGTTCTCAAGAGCTTTTCCTAGAGTTTTTGGATTTCAAAAGCAAAAATAAATCAACCATTTTATTCAAGCTTGAGATGGGATGGGCAAGAAGAGTCAAGACGAAAGTATTTCAGCAATGGGTTATTCATATGTTATTTTAGTTTTTCAGTTTACCTACATGAAGAAACAGCTATTTTATAAGAAACTCTCAAAGAAAAATTATACAATCTAAAAATTGATACATTTTAGTTTCACAGCTACACAGCTTTTGAAGAGTAATCAAAAATTGTTCCATTTCAAAAAATTTTCATTTGATACATGCATGAAAAAGGTCAGAAATAAGAATGCATGATTTTTGTATTTAATACCTTAGTGATTATTAGTCATTATTGTTTATCAAACATCCTGTTAACAATCATTTATACAAACTATTATATCATGTTCACTGGTGGTTCCAGGGACTTGAAAATTGGTTTAACTTTGGCTTAATTGTTTAACTTGGCCTCATTTTGAGAAAATGGGCCTTATCTGGAAAAAACATATAACTGAAAAATGTGTCCACATTTTACAGAAAAATTGTTTGAAAATAGATTTTTAACTCCCTGTAAACTTCCAAGACAACCCCTGTGTATATTTATTATACATTTATGTTGATTAGTATTTCCTTTATCTTATCAAATATACATTCCACACCAATGCAATGATTACTTAATAATGTATTAATTATTGTAATATTTAATCATTACTATGGTAAAGGAAAATCTGGAGATGAAAATATTGAATAAAATAAGTAGGTTTCTGATGGAAATATTTATGAAAATGAGATGTGTGTTATGATGATTATGTCATTTTTAGTATAAATAAATTGATGGAATAAAATTCTAACAAAGATATAAATGATGTTCAGTCTGTTTACAAAGGCTTTGATAAATACTGTAGCTTTGAAATCTTGGTTTAATGAGCTTTCAGGAGGCCCACATTTTTAACTGTTTAAGACCAACAGTTTCTTCTATTTGATGGCATATTTCAATTTTTTGTGTAATATTTTGTCAAAACAACCTCGGTTTGCAGTTATTACCTTTATTCAATTTTCAAAAATTTTCAAGTTCTCTGAAAAGGTTTGGCCAACTCCCCTTCGTCTTTTCATTATATCATATAAATAAAAACACATTGCATATGTTTATGTCACCACAACAATATGGTGACCTATTGTTATAATGTAGTCTCCCAACTTTTTGTGGACGGGGGTTGGTATTTGGCATTCGGAGTAACAAATCGTGGTGTCTGTAACAAATGGCAGGTGGTGACATATTGTATGTCAATGCCTCGTTAGTTTTACAACAACCCCTAATATAAGTATATTGCTCGCAAAAACATATAAACTTCTTAATTTAAAAAATATATAGTTGTGGGCGATACAATGGTAAATTAATTTACAAATGCGGAAGGTGCTCTCTTGGGAATGATGCAAGTTTCAAGCTTTTTATCTTTGCTAAAATCCTTTTGTGAAATGAAGCGTCAGGCAAAGTTTTGCACACCCGTGCCATACTGGGTGTTCAGTGATATCTTTTAGTGTTCTTTTCCGAATACAGTGAAATTGATATGCTCAAGTGACATTCTGCTTTCTTGTTGCTATTATGCTCAACGTCATATCAATTACCCTATCAACCATACTGTTTCAATAAAGAACATTGTTTCGTCATTCCTTTCATTTAATTACGTCATAGATAATGTTTATTTGTATCTGCATCTTAGCGATGAACCTGTATTGTACATAAAATTACCCGAGGTCATTGGATTTTCTCAAGAAATCATGTTTCGAGCGAGTAGATCGTTTCTTCTCATGCGGAGAGATGAGCAGAGACGAATAATTACAAGGTAATGACAAATTCCATATTCTTCTTTGGTGCTGGACGTGTAAGCAGCAGATTAATAACGCTTTTTCAGTCGATTACATCCAAGAATTTATACATTACGTTTTTAAACTGTTGGTTTTCGCAGTGTTGCCATGATTCACCCAAGTGCAGTCCAGGATTTTTATATTTGAAACACAAATAATACAGAGAAATCCTATTTCAATATGTTCTGATATATCATAAAATAGAAGGCAACATCATGTATAAATGACATGACACTCAAAGGAATACCGGATAATTTCTTCTTATTCCCTACTTAAAAAAACTCTTGGGCCATTCAAAGTTTTTTCTGTATCATTAATATCACTTACCTTCTCATGTTTACAGAAAATAAACAAAATGATCCCATGTACTCTGTACTTGTAATGAATTTTGAATAAAATTGTGATCTTAGCCGAACGTCAACTACAAATAGGTTTAATTCGAAAACTAAAACTATCAAAACCGACACTTTTCGTCCTCCATCTTGAATGTGAAGGCACGGACCACTAGTGGATCTAGGGTGTGGCACTTGTCTCAAAAAGAAGTAATTCATATTTTCATTTTAATCGTGGGAAAATCCCCTAATTGCATTCTATTTTCAAAATTTTAAGGGTGCACCCGCCCCCTCCTCCATAGCGTATTTTTGGATTATACAATATTAGCGTCCCTTCTTGCACAAAATCCTGGACCCGCGTGTGAAGGTGGAGGTTACTACCGTTACCTATTGTACCTGTTTCTTGATACTGACCAGTGTTACACGGTATATGGCATATATTCATGGTTGCGCGGTATTTGTGATACGGGTGAATATGCCATACTCACCTGCGGTATATGGCATATTCCGCAGGTGAGTATGCGATATTCCGCAGTGAATATGCGATACATTGATTTCAGTGAATACCCGATAATCACCTGCGGAATATGTCATACTCACTTGCGGAATATGCCATATACCGCAGGTGAATATGACATATAGCACAGGTGAAAACGTGATACAGAAAGCCTTGATTTGATTGGTTGCGAGAATCGACTCTAAATGTAAAACTACGCTGGATTACCAATATGGTCAGTGCGTTGAGTACTAATATATGAATCCTGGATTGATTGAGTAAGTTTATTACGCGAGATTGGTGACTGATACTTCTGCTAAGTTAAGATATTCGATACACAGTACTGTTGATTCAGTAATCATTATAATAATTTATAACGTTTTACTTGTTCGTTCAATCGATGCAATCATGAACTTCAAATAACTGGACTGCAATCGCCTTCCCTTGACCAATGAAAACTCCGCATTTAGGGAATTCCCTGAATCTATGTGTGTTATGGTCACGTGACACGTAGTCCTTGAACTTTTCATAGACCTCCATTTTGTTTTTTACACGTCCTTAATCGGTGGAAAATCGTCAAGTATTTTGGAAGATTAGGTAGGTTTATGTGAATATATATGTATAACAACAATGCATGCTGATAATTGACACTTATATCTTCTGATCCACATCGATTTCCCGACGATGAATGCTTTTTGTCTTGTTGAATTTTGTAGATCTAAAAATAAACAAAAGTTTTTTTGTTATGAAATTTTAATATCACGACGTCACGTATCAAATTATAAGGAATTTTGTACAAATTTCGGAGAGAAGCCCGTTAAGGTAACACACCAAGTCAGCACACCATTACAAAGCTACAGTGTCCTTCTGTGTTAATCCTGAAGGAATAAAGATGTTCTTAACATCTTAAAACCAAATATATTGATTGAAAAACATATGACCGGTTGCCATTTTGGATTTTCCTAAGAAGATCCACTCATGTGGAAACCAAATTTTGATGAATTTTGTATGGATTTCGCAGAAAAGCCTTTAGGGGTAGCACACCTAATCAGCATATCATTATAAAGCTAATGTGTCGTTATGTGTTTATTCAAAAGGAATTAGCATCATTTATCACATAAACACCAAATATATTAATTTAAAAAAGTATGACCGGCGGCCATTTTGGATTTTCCTAAGAAATTCAATCATGTCATTGTGGAAATAAGGTTTTGAGTAAACTTGTACAAATTTCGCAGAGAAGCCTATAATCGTAGCACAATTAATTAGCATATCATTTTAAAGCTAAGATGTCCTTCTGTGTTAATTCTGAAGGAATAAGCATCATTTACCACATAAACACCAAATATATTAATTTAAAAAAGTATGACCGGTGGCCATTTTGGATTTTCCTCATAATTTATTCATGTGGAAATAAGATTTTTAGGAATTTTGTACGAATTTCGCAGAGAAGCCTATAATCGAAGCACACCTAATCAGCATATCATTTTAAAGCTAAGGTGTCATTCTGTGTTTATTCTGAAGGAATATGCATCATTTACCACATATACACCAAATATATTAATTTAAAAAAGTATGACCGGTGGCCATTTTGGATTTTCCTCATAATTTATTCATGTGGAAATAAGATTTTTAGGAACTTTGTATGAATTTCGCAGAGAAGCCTATAATCGTAGCACACCTAATCAGCATATCATTTTAAAGCTAAGGTGTCATTCTGTGTTTATTCTGAAGGAATAAGCATCATTTACCACATAAACACCAAATATATTAATTGAAAAAAGTATGACTGGTGGCCATTTTGGATTTTCCTCAGAAATTCATTTGTGGAAATAAGATTTTTAGGAATTTTGTACAAATTTCGCAGAGAAGCCTATAACCGAAGCACACCTAATCAGCATATCATTTTAAAGCTAATGTGTCATTCTGTGTTTATTCTGAAGGAATAAGCATCATTTACCACATAAACACCAAATATATTAATTGAAAAAAGTATGACCAGCGGCCATTTTGGATTTTCCTCAGAAATTCATTTGTGGAAATAAGATTTTTAGGAATTTTGTACGAATTTCGCAGAGAAGCCTATAACCGAAGCACACCTAATCAGCATATCATTTTAAAGCTAATGTGTCATTCTGTGTTTATTCTGAAGGAATTAGGATCATATAACACATAAAAACCAAAAATATTATTGAAAAAAGTATGACCGGTGGCCAGTTTGGATTTTCTTCAAATGCTCAATGTTGAAATCAAATTATAAGGAATTTTGTTCTAATTTCACAGAGAAGCCTGTAAGAGTACAATTTCAAATCTGCAAGTCAGCAAACATTGTAAAGCTCTGGTGTCATTCTGTTTATTTTTTGAAAGAATATGAGTTATTTTACTAATAAACACCAAATATATTGATATAAAGACATAAGACTAGCAGCCATTTTTCATTTTCTTCAGAATATCAGGATGTATGTGAAAACTGATTATTTACATTTTTTGTTTTTGGATAGAATTTCCCAGTGTTAGCTGCAGATGGCAACTAATTAAGATAAAACCAAGTGTACACACTGCAGTCAGCTGGAGAAATGTAAGTTTGCTTCATGAATCATAAAAAGAGCTTTATAATTCTGGCCAATTGTAGAGTTTCCTTGTACACGTAGCTTTTGTAATCTTGCTTGTCTGGTTTTTCATGACATATGCATATTAGACCTCTAATAACTTACTTTTCCTTCTTTAAATGGCATTTTTGAATTCTGACAGTGAAATGTTTTTACAAGAATAACATTGATTTATAGTTATGTTATTTTCCATGAAATTCTCAAATTTTCTGAAAAACTGGCGAAATCTCCATTAGTGCAATGTTAATTCTCTAAAAACCCTTGTTATTAATTTAACATCCCAAATTTCGATGATTTGTCATGATATATACATTAACAACATCATCATATCATTCATATGGTATGTGCCATTCATGTGTTAGACAGATTCAACCAACACTTGTTGATAAATCATGAGATTATCTCATAAAGTCTATGACAGCCTGGCCGAATTAAAGATCTGGCAGCAATTAAAAGATTGCAGCACTCATTTTCATTTGATTATTCAGCTATGATAGTATTCATAAACACATTGCGATTTCAGGTCATATGTTATTGAAATGAAATGCTTAAA